GTTTGGGGATACGTGACTGTAGCGTTGCAATCAAATATTTTGCTGACCACAAACTGATCGCTCATCCCCAACGACATCACAACGTTATAGTGTTGGTAAGAAGAAACTTCTTTTGTTTTTTCTTGTATCTGACATCGAGATTATTCTAATAAAAAAACTGAGTTGACACTGAATGATGCAAACGAATTCTGTGACTGGAAGTTGAATGTTTTTATGCACCTGGTTCTTGCAACATATGCTGGATCCATTCAGTAGAAGAAAGATAAATACGACCAACAAATGTTCAATAACAGAGACAAAATCGAAACGGTTTTTTATTCAAGTAAGAGAATGTGAGCGAAAATAATTTTGGCTAACATAATTCTTTGTCTATATTAACAGATTTGTGCAGACGGCGTTCCTGGTTTTCTAATCTCTTTTGGCTAGAGTACATAGAGTAAATAGGAAAAAAATCTAAAGGCAATTTTTTTGATTTAACATTATATATCATCATCATCATCATCATCGTCTCTCTTTTTCTCTCTCTCGCACACACACACGCATATATATATATATATATATATATATATATATATAAATATCAAAAAATCTATGAAGCAAATACATTTATTTTGGGAACAGAACAATATATATATATATATTACACGGACGTAACAGAAGAAGAAAAGAGCATTATTATAAATGCGAAAAAATCGGTACTAATTCATAAGGGAGGGTGAGCAATGGCTAAAAAATTCTTATGAGCACTTTGACATCACAATGGGATCACTAGACTTTGCTGAGTCTTCTGACCTTATAAGTCTTCTTATATTATAAAATCTCACAGCAAATCGTGAAATTAATATAACTGACATTGGATTGCATAGAGACGATGGACTTATGGTTATAAAGAACTCTACAAACGTTAAAATCGATAAAATTAGAAAGGTATTATATAGGAAATTTAAATGTCTGAACTTAAAAATTACTGTAAGCACTAAATTGAAAAAGGTGAACTTCCTTGGTATAACATTAGATTTAAAGAAAAATATATACATGCCTTGTTAAAAACCCAATACTAATCCTTGGTATATACACCCTAAATCTAATCATCCTCCACCTATAATTAAGCATATACCTTTATCTATCGAAAAGAGAATTATTACAAATTCAGCAAATGTGAAGATTTTCTATGAACATATTAATTTCTATAATAAAGCTCTAAAAGATAGTGGCTACAAAAGCCCAAAACTAACTTACATAAAATATGAAAATGGAAACCATAGAAAAAACAAGTAGAAAAATAATTTGGTATACACCCTCATACAGCCAAATGGTAACGAACAAATTAGGACAAAATTCCTTGCATTAATCGTTAAACATTTTCCTAAAGATAGTAAACTCAGTATTATTTTCAATAAAAATACCCTAAAATTAAGTTACAGTTGTACTGTAAACTTAGAAAAAATTATTAAGAAACTTAATGCTAATATCTTGAATAAACACTTAGACCAAGATCAAAGAAATTTAGACAATATAATAATAAAAAGAGATGAAGATAAACAAAAATGATGTAACTGCAGAAATCCTCATAACTGTCCTCTTAATAATAAATGTCGCACTGAATCATTAGTATACCAATGCAATATCTCATCTACTGAGGATACAGACAACGTAAAAGTCTACATTGGATGTACAAAACATTAATTCAAGAAACGGTTCAAACAATATCAAAGTTCTTTTAGGTTAATACCGAAATCAGACGTCCCTATCGAAATATTTCTGGCACTTAAAAGAAACCAATAAACCACCTACTGTGAAATGGAAATTAATAAGAAAAGCTAGAATATGTAGGTCATGAAATGACACATGTCCTTTTTGCATACATGAGAAACTATACATTATTAAGTTTATAAAAAATAAAAATTTACTTCATCAAAAAAAAAAAAAAAAAATAGCTATTCTTTGCTGACATCGCCAAAGATTTTCCTTAAATAATTTAAAAAAACTGATAAATGAAATATACATATTTATATTTGATATTTAATAATAATTTTTAAATAATTTAAGTAATTCTATGACATTTATTTGTTTTAAAAGACGTATAGTCTATTAGTAATTAGAATTAGGAATAATATTTTAAAATTGTAGTTCAATACGACTTCTTCATATACAAACGACCCTTTTAGAAAAAATCTTTATGTATACAACTACAAATTTAGCAACGAAACAAAAGTGTCGAAAAAGCGTTGAACGGATGTCATAATTCGCTGAAAAAGGCACACCTACCCTACGTTAACTTAATCTTTTTTCGAAAGTAACTCATATTTTGATACAATAGCTATCAGTGAAAATAAAACCCTACCACACCTTGTCAAAATGATTGAATTTCCCATTACTATTATTATTATTATTATTATTAATGTATGTGCTTATAAAACTCAGTAAATTTTAAAATAAGTTATTCCAAAATTCGCTTGAAAATGATACAGGACTAGGAACTTTAATTTAATTCTATAATTGAATTTGGTGTTTTTAGTTTCTGTTTTTGAAACATGGTAATTCCTGTGTAGTGATGTAACCATATTTTTTAAATTAGTAAATTTATTATATATATATATATAATAATAAAAAAATAGGAGACCAGCCGATTCCGCTACCTTGGTCCCAAACATTTGCTATCTTCGGTCAAATTTTGACCATAATCGCCTGAAGATTCCAAGGTAGCGGTCTGGTAGCTGGTCTCCGAATTTTTATACTTAAAAACACTACATGGTAAAATTTTATTTCTTATATGTGTGTTGAGCATTTTTAATACTACTGTCTCCTGGTCTATTTCAAATCTGACCATTAATATATATATATATATATATATATATATATATATATATATATATATTTACAAATTTAAATGTCCATTAAAGAATTGTGTATCTGTTCACTCAAAATTCGCAACCAATTATATAGGCCACACCACAACTTGTTTGATACGAAGTCTCACACTACATCTTTCTGAAAATAGCTCAATTAGGTCTGATTAAAATACTCAGGGAGACTTACTGGACCCTATTCGTAACATACTTGTTGATAACACAAATATAATAGCATCGTCTACATGTAAAAAATGCTTAAAATAATGGAAGCCTTATTAATAAAAGCAAAAAAAGCCAACACTCAATAATATCAACTATGAACATGGACACAATATGTTGACCGTGTTTTAAAAATGAAATATGGTATAAATACATGAATACAACAATCTATTTCTAGTCAATATTTTTTATCCTTAAAAATGGCTAAATATATAGCCGAAAGCGCTCGGAAAAAAATATTTGGACAGTTTTTGTATAATTTATCTACTGAAAAATATAAGATCACGTGAGAAATTATATAAAAAACTTAATCACAGCACCTTGTCTGTCATATTTAATGAAACTTGCATGAAATAAACAATATATATATATATATATATATATATATATATATATATAATAAAGCGGAGACTTTAGAAATCTATGGTTCGGGAAATCGATATTTTGGTTTTGCTTCATTAGACTGAACGGTTTCAACAATAAATTTAAAATTTTACCAGGCACAAAACGAAATATTAAAGCATAAATTCAAAATGGGGGAATGGAAAAAGAAAAACAAAGAAAGAGAATGGGAAAAAGGAAAGAAGAAGGGGGAGAAACGGAGATATGTCTGTCTAGTGAGATATATGGGTGGGATAACATAGAAGATGAAACAGTAGTGGTTGAAGTTGACCTCTTTTTCACCAGACGTGAGAAGTGAAGTAGAGAGAGTATCTTCAAAGGGGAACAAAGGAAATAGGCAAAAGTAAATAGCGCAAAGGAAAAAGAAAGGAAAGGGAAAAACAAGAGAAAGAAAGGGAAAACTTGAGAGATGAATCGGAATATATTCGTATTCGTATATATATATATATATATATATATATATATATATATATAGAGAGAGAGAGAGAGAGAGAGGAAGAGGTTGTAGTTATTCCAACGAGAGAACAGTGTATATATTAAAAAGAGAGAAACCGCAACGTATTTTTGTTGTAATGTGAATTAGAAAAAAAAATATATATTATGCTTTATTTTCTATAATTTTGCAACACGTGTTTCGTCTTTCGCACCCTTCTTCAGGCAAAGAGTGAATATTTTCACATATTATTAAAATAAATCAATTTTCCTTGTCTTTCGATGTTAAACATTCTCGAGGTTAAACATTCTCTTTTTGTGTGGTAGAAACACAAATGTCTTTCTTGGACTGGCAGTGTAAAAGTTCTTTTGCATAAAGTGTACTAAAACAATTTAGATTGGTCCGAGAAAGAGTGAGGAAAGATATCCGTATTCTTATCTTTTAACGACCCCTGTGTGTTCTTAAGATCTATTTCCATTTTTTGTATTGTGTGTGTTTCTGTTAGTATGTGTATATTCCCTCTCCATACATACATACTGTCTTATTATAAGGAATTAGTACACACACACACACACACACACACACACACACACACACACACATCATACTCCCGGAGGAGTATGTTAAAATGACAAATCAAGATAAAGTGCTCAATACGAAAATATCAGAGCATTATAACGTGCATTTGTCTTGCCTCGACTGTTATTAATTTTAATTTTATTTTCCTTGCTGTCCTTTTTGCATCTTTGGTCGTTTTATATTTTTCTGTGCTGCAGTTGCAAATATAAATTCTAAATATTTGAATATAAATACCGCAAGCTGTTTTTTTTTTTCATAATTTACCTTTGCTGAAATCAGTGAGTGCACTTGATATGTTTGTGGAACTCCTATACCCTAACATATGGTAAATATTTATACTGCAACTGTCTTGGACGCGTGTCTGACACTGATTGTCATTAAACTGGCATCGTGCGCCATTCCTAGAGTGATAAACATGATCCTCATTGGATATCCTATTATTGTGCCCATGTACCAACCTTGGCTATATGAAATACTTATAAAGGTCTCTTTGTCTCTCACAATCGTACACAGAAATGTTCACTTGTACATGCATATACAAACGTATGAAGATACACGCCCCCCCCCAAATCCCAGCCTTTCTCTCTCTCTCTCTCTCTATCACTAAGTCGGGTCATCTAGGTTTCTTTAGTCATGGCTGTCAGACAATTTCTGCGACCACATCACCCTGGCCAACTAACTGCCTAGACTGCAACCCCTTGATTATTATGTGGGGCTCAATTGAGCGACAGAGCAACAAAACTCCTCATAACACTAAAGATGAACTAAAGGCAAGCATTATGGCAGCATTCACTAACTTAAACAAGGAGACAATTCAGAAGCGATTTAGGAGATTCCGAACTCATCTGGAGGCCGTTGTTGAAGCCAATGGCGATTTTATTGAATAAATTTACTCTTTAGTATTTCAAGATATTTTTGTGTAATTTTGACAAATATATCTATTAAAATAAGATATCAGTATTATTTTCATTTTGCGTAATTTGACGATAATTTATCCATCGCGCCCTGTATCTATTAGGTTGGTGCAAAAATAATGACGTAATAATGTCGTTTTTGACGTACTTTTTAACGTCAAAAACGACATTATTACGTCATTATTTTTGCACCAACCTAATATATATGCAACATAAAAAAAAATTTACTAAAATAAACTTGTTTAGTGAATGAGATTTGTTTTTTTTTCTATTTCCTACGAACATCAGTGGCCAGTTTTCGGGGTTCTAGTCGACTGAAGATTGCGAGAGCGAGAAACTTAATTAGTAACTTGTGCTTCGTTGGGGTTTGACACTTCGAAGCGTTTTTGCTCAGTAATCTAGCAATCTAGGCGTTAGGCACTGTTATTTATTGCTTAGGTGTTTGCCTTTTGGTCTTTTTTTCATTTCTTCGTTTGTAATTTTTTGTTGTCTAACGTTTTTTGATATTTTTTTGCTTTTTTATAGTTCATTTATAAGGTAGTGTTGGGCATTTTTGCATACACACACACATACACACAAACACAAACACACACACACACACATATATATATATATATATATATAGTCTTTCTTTTATATTTACACAATTCTATTTAAATATAGATTTCTGTTTTTTCATTTACCAGCTTCACCTTCCCTCACTCCCTTCCTTCCTTCTTTCCTTCCTTCCTTCCTTCCTTCCTTCCTTTATTTTTTTTTTTTAAATCTATAACACTATTTCTTTCTTTAGTAATCATTTGGCATTTTCTTTTTCTTCTTCCAAAATTCCGCTGCTTTACTTTTTTTTCTCCTCGTTCCTCTTTTTTCTCCATTTTCTTCACATTCTCACCTCTTCCTTGTCTTTTTTATTGCCTTTTTAACATGACTATTCTTTTGTTCTTTCTATTTTCCCTCCTTTTCCCCACTCAAAACCCCTTCCTTAACGCACTCCTCTTTTCTGTTCTGTTCTCTTTAAATTCCCTTTTCATTTTCATCTCTGTAATTTCCACTTCACACTCATAGCCGTTCATTCTCGCATCCGCGCCTTTATTCTCCAGCAAATCTCATCTGACAGAAGAACATCTTTTCTGCTTCTTTTAAGCGTGTCCCATTCGCGTTTTATCTCTTTATCCTTCACGCTTCATCCGCCAAATCTTTAAAGACTACAACGTCAATTAGACCCAAGTCACTAATAGAGAAAAACCGCAACGAATTGAAATTGTATTAAAAATCCGGTCTTCCTTTTCCGAGGATACTACACACACACACACACACACACACACACACACACACACACACACACACACACACACACACACACATATATATATATATATATATAGTTTATGAAAAAATTCAGTAAATAATGATTCAATTGTGTACATAGCCTGAGTAAATGGATAAGGGATAAATTCAGTATCTATCTATCTATCTATCTATCTATCTATCTATCTATCTATCAGAGAAAATGTATATATATATATATATATATATATATAAATAATCCTAATGAGCCAGATACTACCTACCTAGGTTTCACCACATGGGATCATCAGGGTGAAATGAAGTCTTAACTTATTACTTGCTGGTTTTTTTTTCTTTGTGACAGAGATTTAAGGCACTGGACAATTTCTTTCGCCCTATAAGTTGGATTACAACAAAAAACTAGACCACATACTCCATGATCACATAAAGTTTAAAAAACTTAACAAGAACCCGACCAACCAACTAAAATCAAAGCTTAATAAACTTATTAATGCTAATAATGCTGAACAGAACTCTTTAAAACTCCCTAAAATTGTTGGTGATTATAGACCTGGCTACATATATGGCACTACAAAAACACATAAACCTAACTATCCTCTCCGTCCCATCATATCGCAAATTCCAACTCCTGTATATCATCTAACAAAATACATCAACCAACTTATTACTCCCATCTTCCTAGTAAATATAGTGTTAAGTCAACATTAGAAGTAATCCAAATCTAAAAAGTGAAAAACCTGACAATGAAATCATGGCTTCACTTGATGTTGAAAACTTATTTACCAATGTCCCTGTTAGTGAAACTATTGACATAATCATAAGAAATATATACAGTAACTCATCTTTACCCCCACTTAAAATTAATCCTAATATATTAAAAAAAACTACTATTAACTTGTACTACTGAAGTCCCTTTCTTCGATCATAATAACAATATATATGTGCAGCGTGATGGTGTCTCCATGGGTTCAGTATTGGGCCCGACATTTAGCAATTTTACATGTCGAACCTCGAAAATAAGTTATTTACAGATTTAAAAAAACCATCAATCTACCTAAGATACGTTGATGATATTCTTATGTTAGTTAAAAATACAGATGAAATAATTCAACTTCAAAAACGGTTCCAAAATAATTCACATATGAACTCAATACTAATAATAAAATCCCCTTCCTTGACATATTGATAAACACAAATAATAACAAATTTACTATTTCGCCATACAAAAAACCTACAAGCATAAATTCCTGTACACTTAACTACAAGAGCGAATGCCCATATTACTACAAAATAGCAATTATAAAGAATCTAATACATCGTGCAGAAACTAATTCATCCACAAAACAGATTTTTTTAGTGAACTAAAGAATATAAAACAGACACTTATTAATAATAGCTTTCAAACTATATAGTTGATGAACAAATAAGATGCTTTCTTAGAAATCTCAATAATAAGCAAATTGTACATAATACTGCTTCTACTGATCTCAAATATATTAATCTCCTATATCGTAATCAAATGCATACTAATTATAAACAAGATGAAAACATACTAAAAAATTTAGTAAATTCTAATATATCAACTACAGATCCTAGCAAAAAATTAAATTAATCATATACTACACTAAATCTAGTATATCCAACTTAATACTTCGCAATGATTCTTCTCCCCGGTTAGCGATTTGCAAAAAACCAACATAGTTTATAAATTCAAGTGCCCTTTGGGAGAGTGTATCTCCAACGAATTAAATAATATTTATGTTGGTCACACCACAAACTCCTTTCACGACGCTTGACACTACATTTTAATGAAAACTCTAACATTTTTAGGCATTTAAAACAACATGCCTGCCCGCACACACAATTCCGTAAAATACTTGTCGAAAACACAACTATACTTCGACATGAAAACAATAGACAAAACTAAAAATACTTGAAGCATTATACATCAAACAGTTAAAACCCAACCTAAACAAAATCAATTATGGCATGTCTACAAATATTCTTAAATGTCTATAATTGGTAACAGAAGCCATTGGTTTATACCAACGGCTTTCCTTATTTCATTCTACAATTCACTCTCGTGTAGTCATGTGTGACGTCATGAGATGCGGTGCGATTTTCGCTTCAGCGTCTTATATGCGCGTGTTTATCGTTGCTTAGTGATACCACTATGTAAACAATGACAGACTATCATCACTGTCGTGTCCGTATATTGTTTAATATGTTTGTGATTTACATCTTTGATAATGGCTTAAGTAAGCCGAAAGCTTAGATTATATTAAAAAATATGGATCAATATTGTGAATTAATGATAATGTTATCAAACTTATCAGAAGTTCGAACAAATTTTACATAAAATAAATAGACAACACTTGTCTATATTATTTAATGAAACGTATATATATATATATATATATATATATATATATATATATATATATATATATATATATAGTCATCATGGCCGAGAGATTGAGCGTGCTGGCCTTGTTCAAATTGTTGATCACGCTAGATAACACGTTCTCTGCCAGAAACTGTAACTAAGGTCTGCTCAGTATAGTTGCAGTATAAACAAAAGGTGGGCTCTGTGGGTGTTGAGCAAGCGTTTGCAATAGGGATTGGCTACCCCTCCTCCTAGTAGACGGGTATCCTCGAATACGAGGAGCCAGCTATTATATATACATGAATAAGAGAAAGTAATTTACGGAAAATTCTTGAGTTTGTCGATATCGAATCTAATTAAAATATGTTTGCATCACGGATTTTTTTCAAATATCTCCATACTTGAAAGAATTACCTCTATCCCAAGCTATAAAAGTGTTTAAAAGTTAAAAGAAAACGATTAAATTCACAATCTCCTGTTATTAAATTACAAAAAAGAATTTTATTTTGATCTAAAACTTATATGTATATTTCCCCTTTTCTAGCAAGATTAATGCTCGACAAACGTACATATTTTTCTATATATATATATATATATATATATATATATATATATATATATAGGGAGGTGCCCACGCACGAGTACGAATGTTCGTATTGCGTGTGCCCCCTTTTTTTAAAGAAAGAAGGAAATAGTTACAAATTCTGAAGAGTGGCCAACCCGTGAAAATGATGGCGACTGTCGTCGTTTGCTTTGTTTTCATTTGTTCGTTCTGTCGAATCAGTTTAGCGCTGATTAAAGAACAGGTAATGAGACACCGTGGAGCAGGTGATTGAATGGTACAGTTACATTCATTTGCCTACGACCAATGAGGGAATTCACACGCACACGCGAACACACACGCACACACATAAACACACACGTATATAATTTGATGTAGATACAGAGATGTCGATATTGGGTCATTAGGTACAAAAATAAAGCACGCATTCGAGCATTTTTCTCCCAACTTTATTTTTTGTGAATATAGTTTATTAAAAAATGTAAATATATTAATTATTTGTAAACATACCATAGATCAGTTGCAAGGTTGAAAATGGGTGTATCAGCAATTTTCTTGTTATAACAATCACATTTAAGTTAGAAATGTTAGAATACAATGATCAACACGTCAGTCTCTTAGATTATCATAGAGTCTGGAGTTGGATAGGCATTATTTTATTGCTAAACCTCTGAACCCAATCCTAAACTCTAATATGTTCTTTTTAATCAAACTTGTTTGTATCTATCTCTCCCTTCTCTCCTTCTCTCTCTCTCTCTCTGTATATATATATATATATATATATATATATATATATATATATATATATTTCATTCCTAGGAAGGCAACGAAGCCACAATAAGATAAAGAATATTAGAGAAAAAGAAAAACATTCTTAAGGAGCGAAAACAATAATTGATAAATGATCAAATTTGACTGGAAAGCACGATACTGAAAGAGAGTTCCACAGGGGAGAAGTGCGAGAGAAGAAAATATTGGCATAAAACTTACGGTTACATCTTGCTAACTGTAAAATGATTAGGTCTAGTTACCATGGAGGGAAGTTCACTAGAACAATTACCATGAAAATCTGTCTATATTTCTGAGATGAAGTATTATGTACACTATTTACATTATTCGCACTATTGTCCTCATTTTTGTCGCCATATTTATTACAACGTTTCGGCCTTTGTACGCCCCGGCCTTCTTCAGGTGGATGGAATGTCGAACTGAACCCTTTATTTCGCTCACCGGGGTAGACTGTTCTAGTTCCACATGCCATGTTTAATGGATGCCAGTTATCAGTTATCTCCTGTTAATTCACCTCTACAAGTTCTCCATCGCCTTAACCGGGTATTGAACTCACACTCTTTGGGTCCTGTCACTGGATCTAACCAACACCTTTATCCACTGTTCCATGTGTCCTTGTAATAAATATGGCGACAAAGATGAGGACAATAGTCCAAATAATGTAAATAGTATACTATGAAAATATTTATAGAAATATCACATTGCGGCTTTTGGACAGGTACTGAAAACGAGATGCCAGCTCAGGTCTAATAACATTGTAGATTTTTCTTTGTCAAGAACCTTTAAATACATAGCAGGAGCACCAGACCACATGTGGCAGCAATACTGAAAGCGTGAACGAATGTTAAACTTATAGATATATGAAATAGAGTCAGGTGAGAATAATTGTCTCGCACGACACAGTGAATCAACTTTCCTAGTAGCAGATCTACCAATATATATAAAAGTGGACACTGAGGTCAACACCAAGCGGCGATAGTTTGTTTCATACTCGGACGTAATCTTCAGGCCATGCGTTTTGACTCGTCTATTTATATATGCTGGCCAATGGTGTATTATAGGTGGCAAGGTCTATTATATTATCCTAACGGTTATCGGGTAGGCGGTAACGTTTATATTTTAAATTATTCTAGAGCAGGGGTCAGCAACCTTTTGAATAGCGAGGGTCAGACAGCTATGCAGTGCCTCGTAGGAGGGCCATATTAAATGTAATATAAATATTTTTTTTCGTACTCAGACCGCTCTGTCCAGAAAGCTGTCTTGGTAAGGAGTTTGAAAGAAAAACAAGAAATTTAATGTAATTTAATTTAAACAAGGTTCTTCAGTAACAACAGAAACACAACTAGTAACGCAATAACCCCCCCCCCAAATGAAAATTATTTGCTACAAACGAAATACAGTTAAAAATGGCAAATTATTTAATGAGACACTTTTTTTCTGCTTATTGCTTGATAACTTTTCCACATC